AGAAGGGAGGACTGCATGTAATAATTTGGGACAGCTTCCAGAACGGACTTGGTGAGGGTAACTCGACCTGCAAAGGATAAGAAGTTAGTCTTCCAGTTAGCAAGTTTCTTACGAACTTTATCAACAATAAATTGGCATTGCGTTTTCTTAAGTTTTCTATGAGATATGGGGACACCCAGATATTTCCCCAAGTCCTTGGTTTCAGATATGCCAAGCATAGAGCAAAGAAGGTCTCGAGAAGGAGGATCCACATTATTTGAAAACAAGACCCGAGACTTTTGAAGATTGATTTTTTGGCCAGATCTAGAGCAGAAGAATTGGAGCAAAGAGCTAAGATAATTGCAGTTTTCTTGGGTGGCTTTGCCCACAAATATGATATCATCTGCAAAAAACAAGTGAGATAAAAGAGGCCCCCTGCGACCAGCTTTGGAGCCTTTCCAAAGACCTGCATTCATGTAAGTGGAAATCTTAATAGCCAAAAATTCCATGCACAGAATAAAAATATAAGGGGAAAGGGGATCTCCCTGACGAATGCCTCTTGAAGGAGTGATGAAATCAGACCGATCACCATTTATAATAACAGAAATGGTAGTAGTGCAGACACAAGACATGATAAGTTTAATAATGGAGGGAGGGAAATTAAAAAAACAAAGGGCCTCATGGATAAAACACCATTCCAACCTATCATATGCTTTTTCTAGATCAAGTTTAATAATAAAATCACCTTGTGCCCCCTTTTTCTTGGTGAAGGAGTGAACCAATTCCTGAAGAATCAGCACATTGTCACACCCTTGGCGCCCAGGGATAAAACTAGATTGGCAAGGAGAGATAAGTTTATCCATCCAAGGTTTGAGCCTATTAACAAGGATTTTAGACACTACTTTGTAAGTAGTGTTGCACAAACCAATGGGCCTAAACTCTTGGATTGAGATCGGAGAGGTATTCTTAGGAATAAGAACAACTAAACTTTCATTCCAAGAGGAGGGAATAATCCCAATAGAGAAAATTTGAACAATATCAGTACAAAGTTTATCCTTAGTAATATCCCAAAACTTCTGGAAGAATAAAGGGTGGACACCGTCAGGTCGAGGAGCTTTAAAGGGTTTGATGGAATGTAAGGCGGCCCAAATTTCATCCTTAGTAAAGACACCCTGGAAGGACTCAAGGGGGATGGCCCGAGGGGAAACATCAATACCTGCAAAAGAATCAGAGTAAGAGAGCTCATGCAAGGTGGTGAACAAACCAGAGAAATAGTTCATAATGAGAGTAGATAGTGCAAGAGGGTCAAAGATCCAATTGCCAATGGAATCCTTTAGACCCAAAATCCTATTTCTGGCCCTGTGACGAACAGTTGATAGGTGAAAAAATTTAGTGTTACGATCACCCTCAATCAACCAATTAGATCTCGACTTCATAAACCACAAATCCTCTTCTATCTTAAGAATATTCTCATACTCCTTAAAAAGTTGTCTCTCAAGATCAACCAAAAAGGAGCTGTGAGGAAAAGCAGGAGAACGATAAATCCCATTGAGCCTTTTGATAATAGATTTCTTGTCCTCAAAGATATTTCCAAAAACAGTCTTGCTCCACTGCTTAGAGGCAGCGACAGTCAGTGCAAGGGATTCAGTAGAATTAGTATTGGTTAGAGACCAGATGGGAGAGATGACTTGACTGAAATCATGATGATCAAGCCAAAACTTTTCCATACGAAATGGTCTAGGTCCCATTCGAGACAGATTAGGACACAGATCCAGCATGATGGGATGATGATCAGAATTAAATCTAGGAAGGTGATATAGATTAGCTTCTGGAAAGAGAAGCCTCCAATCTGGGTTAGCCCATGCTCGATCCAAGCGTTCCCTAATAAGTTGATGGTTATTCCTCATGTTAAGCCAAGTAAATTTAGGCCCGATATAACCAATGTCCTGCATGTGGCAGTCATTCATGCAATCAAGATAGGAACGCACCCTGCTTTGGCTCACCATGCCACCCCCGAATTTTTCAGATTGATCGATGACATCATTAAAGTCTCCAATAAGAATCCATGAGCAAGAGATCATTGTAGAGAGATAGCGAAGTTCTTGCCAAAGCATAGTCCTTATCTCATAAATAGGTCTACCGTAAATGCCAGAAAGAAACCAAGTATCAGAGGAAAGGGAGGGATGATTGTGTACCTTAACAGTGGCATGAATAGCTTGAGCATTAGTAGAAACAATGTCAAGGGTAACCTCGCTATCATTCCAAAGGATCCAGAGGCCTCCTGCTAACCCATCAGAGTCCACACAGTGAAAGTGGGGAAAGCCCAGTGCCCTAGCTTTAGCAATAGCCTGGTCCCCGCTAATTTTTGTTTCTAAGATCAACACGATGCAGGGGTTATGAATCCTTTTGAGATCCATAACACTAGATTGAAAGCTTTGCTTGGCCGCACCACGGCAGTTCCAAGATATGATCTTCATTGACCAAACACGAGAGTTATTGGCCCTGAGGAG